AATTATTAATATCAATATTAATTAAATTCATAGATTAAAATTTTAAAAAATCAAAGAAATAAATAATAAAAATAATATTAAAAATAGTAATATTAATAATACCAATAGTATTAATAATTTTAATAAAATTAGAAAATAATACAAAAACATTATCTAATATGATTTTTTTCAAAAGATGATATTTTTATAAATAATTTCTTATAACTATATAGGAATTTTTTTAAAGGACTTATTTCTAATATTTCATTATTTTAAATAGAATATATATATATATATTTAAAATTATATTTTCTTTACCATCAAAAATGATATTCTTTTATATTAGAGTAGCACAGGAAAACACCATAAGGAAACAAAAAAAAAAATAATAATAATAACTTTATGAAGTAACAAAAAATAACAATTTGGTTTTTAAAGAGTAGGTATAAAAAGAATCAGGTAAAAATTGAAACTAATTAAGGTATACAATATACACATATATGTATATTTTTAAAAAGTTTTATAGTAAAATTTTTATGGCAATGTTTAAGAGTACACTTTTGAATATTTATAATAAAAACAGATCAAATTCAAGTGCAATAATATGTATGATAATTTATTTGTATTTTTATTATGAGATTTAATGCTGAGTTTAGTTTAGATTAGAACACTATTTTGTAATTTTGATGATGATATTATAGTGGTCAAATTTTTAGTAGTTCTTTTTAATTTCAATGAATTGAATCTGGAGAATAACTGTTTTTATTGCTGTAGCTCTTGAATTATATGACTTCAAAAATAGATATGTGATTGTTACTTTTAGTTATTCAAAATCAATTGTAATAATTTTTAACATATATAATCATGTTAAAATATATAAATTATTTTTTAAAGATAGTAGAAAAATAAGAGTACTAAAAATATTTTTATTATATTGATCCAAAATCATCAAAGAAAGTTTTGTAAATATTGAAATTTTTTAACTTAAATTTAAGTACCTATGTACACGCCAATAAACTTAATGGGTTGTAAAAATTTATTCAAGAATATAATTCTAATAATATACTTAAAACAAAATATGTTAAACACTCACACACACACACATACATATATATATATATATATATTATATTAATATTAATATTAATATTAATATATATATTAATATATATATATATATATATATATATATTACACACATACAATATTGGATAAAATATTAAAATTAAAAGTTACAAGCTTTAACTTATATTGGATAACATTAACAATATTGGATAAAATATTAAAATTAAAAGTTTATCCAATATCAAATGTTTTTAAGAAGATTTAACACATCCTTCTTCTTAGTTACTATACATGAAAATAAGGCTATAGTCATCTTCATTTGTGCAACTCTTCACTTCAATTCTAGTCTCAGTTTGACTTTTATGTTATGTTTGACTTTTATGTTATGACTTTTGTTTGACTTTTAAGTATGTTTGACTTTTATGCTATGACTTTTGTTTGACTTTTAAGTATGTTTGACTTTTATGCTATGACTTTTGTTTGACTTTTAAGTATGTTTGACTTTTATGCTATGTTTGACTTTTAAGTTTAAAAATCATTCATAAATTAAAAAAATTAACAATATAGTTTAAGATATATTCAACTTTTGTAAGCAGCAATAAATATAATTCAATACAAATTTTAAAATCAATAAATTTAGTTAATCAAATTATGTAAATACAAAATTAAATAAATTTTTACATAATTTGATTAACTAAATTTATTGATTTTAAGGTTTTACAAAATTTTAAATTTTTTAAAAACATTTAAAGAAATTGGTATGATGAAATGTTTAATAATTAAATAAAATCTTTAATTGATAAATTTCATAGAATTTAGTAGAAATTACTCTTGTATTTTAAGTCAGTGACACAATTTGGTATAAAATCAATAATTTAATAATTTGACATATTTTGCCATTATAAAGAGTAATTACAATCTGTACATAAAGGTGCTATTTTTTAAAATAAATACTCTAAGATACATATTTTTAAATATTTTAAAGGATTAAAATCTTGAATCAATATTATTAGTGAAGACATTAACTTAATAGCTTGGAAACTAAGTTAGTAACTTTAGTTAGGTAAATTTTAAATGAATATAAAAAACTCCATAAGATAAATTTGCAATAAATGTAATCTGTCTGGCCAAGTAAAATTAGGTGAACTTTGTGAAACTAGCAAAATCAAGCTTTAATACCACAATTGCTTTGACAATAAATAACTTTGACACTTCAAGTATTTTTAAGATTATATAATCTCAAATTTTAATAATTAAAGTTAATACTAAAAAATAGTATATTAAAATTTAATTTTATAAATTTAGTATGTATATATATATATATATATATATATCTATTTACACACAAATACTTTATGTGTTGATTTTATCAATGTTTCATTACAAATTGTATTTTATACAGATAAAAAGAGGCTAAAATATTTTATGCAATTTTAAAGCAATTTAAAAGCTTATGGGTCATTTCTTGAGTATTCGTCTAATTAAATTGTAAGTTGCAAATAAGTGATTTTGCAACTAGAAAAAAATGTGAATTTACTTTTCAGCTTTAATATAGATGGCGGTTTTAATTTTTTTATGTGTATATATATATATATATATATAAATATAAATATATATATATATTAAAGATCCAATCAAAGAGATTTTATTGATTTCTTTCTTAAAAGTAAAATTATAAAAAAATCACTTAATATACTCTATTTTTAAATTAAAATAATATAAAAAGGATATGATTAAAAATATAATTTATAATAAAGTATGGATGATTTCAAGAATCATGATTTTATAAACCATCAATATCATAGTGTAGTAGGTGTTAAATTTGAGAACATATTTTAGCTTTATATATACCAATTTTGAGTTATGACAAATTTTCTTAGCTACATAATTGAATTAAGATAGTAAAAATTCTAATAAGATAATATATATATATATATATATATATATAGTTATATTGGTATAGAAAAATATCATGGACTGTGACAATGTCAATCTAATAAAGTAATTAGGTTTGCTTAAATACAAAGACCAAAAAAAGGTTATATGAACTTAATTTTCTGATTTAATATAAATTATTTCAAAACCAATATATTTTAGTTTTTTTTTTTTTTGTTTTTTTTTTTTTTTTATAATTAGATAATATATATTTTAGGTTTTAAAAAATAAAATAAACTACAATATTTTATTTTTTGAAATTTGGATAGTGTAGGATTTTAATATTGAATATTATGCAATTAAAAATAAGATTTAAAGTATATTGTACAGATTTATTAAACAGTTTTTAAAAAACAATAGAATATAAATAAACTTAGAATAATATTTAGGTCCTAGAATATTATACTTAAAATATAAATTTTATAATTTTTATACTTTTTTAAAAATTGAATACTATGCAAATAGAATGGCTTTTAAAATATTTAATTAAATATATAAAAAAGATAACTAATATATTCAAATAATTCTTATATATATAGAGAGAGCGAGAGAGAGGGAGAAAGAGAAGAGATAGATAGAAATAGAGAGAATTGCTAATGCCACATCTCCAATTGATATTGCTACACCCTATGTGACCTCCACACAACTTAAATTGTCTAAAAAATGTGTATCTATGTTTATGGCACATTTGATAGCTCAATATTATCCCAAAATAGAATGTATCAAAAAATTAGTTTTTTGTGTTTTTAGCAATTAAATTAAAAATTAAATAAAAATAGAATAAATAATTTTTGAAGCAAATATATATATATATATATATATATATATAGTTTTAAAAACCAGCTTTTAACTTGTATTTTCATAAAATATTCCGTGTTTTTAACTACTAGCCTTTTTTAAAGCAAAGAAATAAAAAAATAAATTGAAGAAAGAGACATATTATTAGCTAGTTGTCTACAAGGAGGTCACATGTAGTATTGTGATATAAATTGGGGATGTAGCATTAACAATTCTCTCTCTCTTTCTCTTTGTATATATGTATATATATATATATATATATATATAGTGAATAGCTTCTATTAAGCATATATTATAATAATGTGTTGTATATTTTTAAAAGTGTTAATTCAAATTAGAAATCAATTGACTTTTAATTGACTCTTAATTAAAGTAAAACCTTCTAAAAAATGAATGTCTTTAAAGTATTACACTATCATAGTAGCAACCTTATGATGATCAAGAGAATTTGTAAAACTAACAAGAATAGCATATAGCTAAAGAATTAAAAGCAATTAGGCCAACAACTTATAACAAACATAAATATGTCTTTTATTCTCAAAAAAATAATATATTTAAGGTTAATAACTTTGAGTCTAATAAAAATTAAAGATGACTCACACTTAAAAAAAACATATATATATATATATATTATTATTATTATTATTATTAATGTAGTTGATTTATATACATTTTTTATCAACTAAATATTTTTCTTATTTTAAGTTCTAAAATTGAAGTTTAGATGTAAATAAATATATATATATATATATATATATGTAATATTATAAGAACATTTAAAAGATTTGTGATAAAGAATATCTTGACTTTTATAATGTTAAGGTTATGAATAGTATACTTTCTTAATTTTTTTCTTTTTGGAAGTATAGGATTGGATATTGTTATGGTGCATTATTTTAGTAAAAAACTTCAAAAACTTCAGAAATAAAAATGTTTTAAGAAGTTCACTATCTTAAATTTTAAAAATTGGTTATTAATAATGTAGCAACTAAATTAAATAGAATAATAGAAAAAAGAGATTATTGAAAAGCAGATTTTGAAATAATATTTAAAAGTAATAAAAAATACTATTTTTTAAACGAATGATTATTTATTTATTTATTTTTCATTCTAATTGATGGCAAATGTGGAAGGAAGCCATGAATTTAAAAAAATCATTTGTTTAAAATGTGGAAGGAGGTCACTACGAAAAAGGCATCAATAAAAGAAAAGGAAGGAATCAATAAACCGGAAAAAGTTCTGATGCATCTCATTACTTCAGCAACGACAATAAGAATACATAGCTCAAAAATGAAGCTCCCCTGAAAGTAACTGGCGGCTAATAATATGATCATGCTTCCCGACGTGAATATCATCTAAAAGATGCTCATGACATGTTAAGTTGGTCAGTGATTCAAAACACTTTCTATGAAAAGCCAAACCGCCATTACAGGGCAGAGGAACACCTTCCACTCCACTCATCAGTTTAGTCGACTTGGAGAGCTACTGAAGTGATCACTTCATGCATTTCACTCACTCAGCAAGAGATATCACAATAGCCACACCCATGCCAAGCACCATGGGCACAAGTTGGGCAAGAGTGGCAGTGAAGGAGTTGCCCTGATCATGCATGCCAGGCATGACACCACCTACCGACATGTAGATAAATCCACCTGCAATGAAGCCCTGCAACAGTAGTAACCCATATGTTGAAAAGGCTACCTTGGGATTTAGAGCAAAAATACGGCAGTCGTGGACACAATCTGAGTTGAGAGAAAAGACTTCAACTACAAGAACTATTATTCATAATTAAATAGAACTGTTTGAGATAGCCCTGTTAATTGAAAACAGAATCAAACTTGAGCTCATAAGCTTGCTTACTTCAACAAGAGAGGAATGACCCGCGTTGCCACCCAGCATCAGGGCCTGTCAAAAAGACAACTAATTAAGTCAATTTAGGAGAAAACGTTTCCAACGTTCACACTCTAGGTTTCTCCAATCAACAAATTCAACAGTACTTATAATAGCGACGTACACAAAAAAATCTTGCCAAAGTCCATACAAAATGGTAATTCTCTCAAATTTAGATTATCAACAGATCGAAGACTCATTCCTAGCAAACTACACGCTAAGATCAATGTTTAGTGAGGGCATACCGCAGCAGTCCCAGCTAACGCAACCAAAGCCGAAAGGAAGTTGAATGCAAGAGCCTCAAACACACTGAAGCCAGATTTCACCAAGATTCCGAAGTCCCCAACCTAATTCCGTGAAACATGGTTCGTCAGACCCCAATGTTTATTTTGGCCTTCTAATGACCATCTGAAAATAGCTCATCATCTGCTGAAGAGAGAGTTTCACTGAATAGAGGAAAATCTTCTAGCTTTTGAAGGTCATTAGTTTGCGACCAACCAACAACAGTCTCACAGGCAGAACTTGCAGGTTGGAAACAACAAGGATATATTGGATATTCTTCACTCATAGCACACGAGCAGCAAAACTTCAACACTACATTTTACAGATTAACGCTACGTTGAACACAAATGAAATCCACAATAGATATTCAAAGCCGCATAACTCCAAAAGACATAAAAACATTGAGCAATAAAAACTTTGAGCCATTCTAAAGAATTAAGATATGCATGGGACCAACTGAAGTACGAAAAAGGACAGACCTCCTGAGGAAGCTCATGCGCAAGTAGAAACAAAGTTCGTGACCACCCGCCAACTGTGCCATGCAGCAAGAAAGCACTCCCAAGGGCCATGCCATCTGTGAAGTTGTGCTGTAATACACAACACACCCAAAAAACATTCGCAATTTCTTTAAAGACGTCTAAATATAACCACGAGACTCAAGACAACTGAATTTTCAGTACATTATGCGATGCTCTGCCAAAACTAGACCATACAAAATTATAACAGAAGCAGTCATAGGTTAGTTAATAGGATTTCCCTTGACACTATGACAGTAAAACAGAGCCAACCAAATGACGTCTACGTGATAGCTACACATGGGAAAACTCTATATTTAAGTCCCTAGATCGTCATTTAGAAGGAATCAATAATTTACGTACCACTGCATCAGAGAAGAGGTTGAGGTAACCTATGACGAATCCCCCACTTGCATCCACCTGCTGTTGTGGCTGTGCCGGTGCTGTAGGGATGGCATCGCCAACTGAAGATGTGTCTTTCTTCTTACCACCTTTCCTCTATTATTTAGTTTACAAGTTCAAGAAACGCCTTAAAACCATGCCAAACATTTGCAATTGAACTTCAGGTAACTACGTGTTTTAGTGGCACAACTATTGCAGGACTCATGGTTCAACAATAGAATTCCAAAAATAGAGTTAACCAAGATTTCCACCATCAAGTAGAGTATGCCTTAAAATGTTGTTTCTCATTAACAAAAGCTATTTACATAATTCAAAACTCGAAAGAAATGGTTTCGAGGCGTATGAACCAAAACGAATGTAACCAGTTCTATGAAAAGTAGGAAGCACTGGAAGTTAATGGAATTTGAGATAATTGAAACGCCCAAAGTCGTGTACAACGAGATAATACCTTTTTAAGATCCGAAGTTTTAGATTCTAAAGGTTTCGACTCCTTATCTTCGAGGGCAGCCACATCCCCAACTGCTTCAATCTTCTCAGAACCCTCCGATTTTTTGACCTTGTTCTTTTTCTTTTGATGATGATGATGAGTGTGACCAAGTGCACGTTGGCCACCGCGACTGGACAGCTCTTCATAGCGTCTTACAATCTTCTCAACAATGTAGAAGAGAATGATTCCACCTAAGTTCATACAGGCGTCAAATTTCAACCCATAATTTATTCATCATGAATACAATAACATGATTCCATAGCGCACAATGGAAAAGATCAGGATGAGACGGTCAAAAAGTTCAGAGAAATAACACTATAGTTTTAACATTATGTATGAGTGTTAAGAATAAAACTCAATGTGATCACTTCTAGTGTATGATAGAATAGAAATCTAAAAACAGACTGACGAAACAACGGAATATTAGATTACCAGATTCTGGTTTTCAGGCAAGCCTTACCGAGTACAGCAAGACCAATCGACAAGTCTTGCAGAGAGTGTGCATGACCGTGGCCTGCAGCGGGAGAGTGCTCGTGACCATGACCATGACTATGATCATGATCATGCTGATGTGCACCGTGAGAATGAGATGAAGATTCAGAACTTCCTGGAGCCACAGAAAAGAACACGATTATACATTTAAACGAGCTATAAGTTGTTTACAGTGTGCTCCATCATCTCCTAAGCTTCAACGATTCAAATCGAGGAGGAGAAACTTCTCAGCTAGTATAACTTGAGCCCTAGTTGTTCAGAGGACAAGAGCTGCCACTATTTAATCACCATAACCCCCTAAATCATACTTCAAAAAGAACCCGTGATATTGCTTGAAACGATGAATTGCAGAAGGAGCTGGGTCCTAATTCAGAAACATGTAGTGTGATACTGTGGCAAGTGGTTACCGAATGCATGAGGAAGTTGATGAAGGAATGCATCCCCTAACATTGCACCAGCCTGTAAGACGTATCCACCGTTGTTGTCAGCACAATCCTAAGATCTTTGTGGTGAATAGCATGAACTTTCGTGCCTGCTATTAGATAATTTAATAGTTTCGTTGTTCTACATACAGTGCTGCAACCAAAAAACCATCAAAAGGCAGAAAAGACAGCTGATCCATGAAAAAGATATTTGAGGCAAGGTCCCTGCCACTAAATATTGCAGAGCGTACCCCAAAAGAAGCCAAAGCGTTGACCACGCCCTCTGAAGGCTTGCCATTTGCTGCATGAGACACAAGAACCAGCTCAGTTTCACAACATGACGACTTCCAAGACTGTTATAATGTTCCGTACCAAATTTGTTCAAATAACTTGGGAACACCAGAAAGTAAGAGTAGCAATTGCGAATTGATTCTTTCAGTCGAAGCTCTTGCACGTCTAACACGGGTACCAAACAGTAAAATGGAATCCCCAACCACTTAGTTCTAGGTAAAAGAATAAGAAAAAAAGAAAACAAGGAGGATGATAAATAAATAAAAACAAAGAAGTAAGAGTAAGGGACTCTGAGAGATACTTACAGACAATGCAAGGGAGCAGCATTAGGCATATAAGAGAGGCCAAGCTCACTAGCATTGAACAGCCCATTGCGCGCAACCAGATGCCTTTTCACATGCACACACATTCAAGCAAAAGATCATCAATAATTGGAACGTCTTTTGTGTAAAGTTCATTTTTTCCACAACAAAAATAGTAAATATACAGCCGCATATAACTTTGACGCAACGTACACAAAAAAATGCCCGTTCCTTGGTTATTCGTCAAAAATACAGGTCCATAACAGACTGCCAAGTATTTGCAGATATTATCTCATGACCTAATCCCAATACACTATAAAGCTTACAGTTAAAAAGCACTTCCAACAACCACGTGCTGTGAAAGACCAAGAGAAAATTTTAGAATGAAGAGAATGCATTACAAATCCAGCAACTGTGTCCCAACCACACGTTTCCAAGATCCACACTAGACATAATATAAAACGAATTCAACGCCATTCAGTTTGAATTCTGATCCTTCGAACCTTGAGTCCAGAACTGGAGGTCTGAAAAAGCCCTTCGAGCACTTGTGAGCTTCCGACACACATTGTGTCTCCCCTGAAACTATACATCATCCTACAGTGGATAAACAAAGAATGCACTGCACAAATGTAAACGTTAAAATTGCGAGTGAGAAAAGAAATCGAACCTAGCTCGGGAACTGGAAAGCGACTAGACTGTTCATCACTTGAGTACACATGTCCCTCGAAACCATAATGTAGCAAATCCTCTTCCTCAGCAATCTCCTCAGGCAGTCTGAATTCCCTTTTCTTGACGCTCTCCCCGTGCTGATGTCCATGACTGTGACCACTATGATCATGGTGATGACAGTGGGCATCGCTTGCTTTAGAAAAGCCCACATTTGCGTGCTCATCTCTATGGCCGTGATCGTGGTGGTGGTGGTGTTCTTCATGTCCGCGATCATGATGGTGATCGTGCTTAAGTGAATGCTCGTGATCCACGTGGTTTTCTTCATGCCCACCGTGAGATTTCTCTTCCTCCGCGGCAACCTCGTGGTTTGATTCGGTACCCATCTGCAATTCCCCATCAGCCGCATTCGGATGAAGCTTCTGATGCATCTCATACGCATACTTATGCAAGAGGTTAATGACGTCCTCGCCTTTCGCACCATCCGCAGTTAACTGCGGCCCATCCGCATTGAGCTCCCCCTGGTTATCGACGGCCCGGTCAGTCAAGCCCTTCAACGTCTCCTCTAACTGCTTCATCCTGGCTTGGACTAAAGGATCAGCCATTCCACTGCCCTCAGACCCTTTTTCCCCTTCCACTTCTGCTTCTTTCTCCTCCTCCTCATCCTCTTCTTCACTTTCAAAACCCAACTTCTTCCTCTCCTCATCACTCAACCCTTCAATTTCCGCATTCCTCTCCAGAGCTTTCCGCTGCAGCTCGAAAATGTGCGCAAACAAATCAGGTGCATCCCCTTCGCCCAACTTTTCCTCCGCCCCCACTCCAGCTACAGGATCAGCCACGGACAAATCCTCCGGCCTCTTCGCGTTGAATTTCGCCAGCTCCCCGAATCCATTGATGTTCAATTCCTGAACCTCGCGAATGTGGGCGAACAAGTTCTGCAAAGAGGCCTCATCCTGCTCCTGGGCGACGGAGGTAGGCGGGAGGAGCAACAGGAGCATTGCCAAGAGCAGAGCTAGGGCGTTCATGGCGACGGGCTTCTTGCTACTACTGCTACTGCTACTGCTGCAGTGGCCCCGACCCATCGCCATCCCGAAATGAAGCACAACCCATGACAGCGCCATCAGAAGGGATCCGCAAGCAAGCAACGGGGGGGAAAGGAATCACCCAACATGAATCTCGCTCTCCTCCCTCCCTTTCTCCCTCCCCTCCCTTCCCTCCCGCCCTGGGTCAAACCAATTGGGCTGTGCATTTGACGAGGGTCGACGATGCTCATCTTCGGCGAGCTCCTTCTCCTGCTTCTTCTTCTCCTCTTCCGAGACCTTCGACGACGACGACGGTGACGATGGCGATGACGACGTCTCACGGAAGCTCGTTTCTAGGGCAAAGGAACCAACCCTCACTCCCCAACCAAGCAAATGAGGATCCATCTATATATATATATATATATATATATACATACATACATACATACATATAAGAGATTAGAAGAATTTTATCTTCTTAACAAGTTTTATTTTATTTTATTTTATTTTTTTCTTTTTTCGTTTGGTGCAAACAGTTGCTACACAATTTGTTAAATTAGTTTTGATATGCACATAGAAAGAAAGAAGTTGTTGTTTGTTTGTTTTTATTTTGTTTTTTTTATATTTATTATGTTTTTTCCATGTGTACATATAATTTTAGTATTTAGTAAGATTGATTTTTAAATTTTTTATAATTTTTTTTGCTTTACAAGTCTTACATTTTATTTGATTTTTTTGATACATTATTGATATATATATATATATATATATATATATTTTCTTCTTGGTGGATGTGAATGTGAGGTATTCAGGTAAGTGACATATTTTCTTTCCATCATTTTTTTTTTTTTTTTTTTTTTTTTCTGTTTTGGTTTATGAATGATGTATAGAGTCAAGGTTCTACAGCAATAAGCTGGGTTCTAATTCTATGGGATACACACTGTCTGTGCTAGATCATACATAATTTCCTGAGATTTTTTTTGCAAAAATAGTGATTAAAACATTTCCACACTCAGTATTTAAATCAAGAAGTTTAGACAAGTTCTTCTTGCATATTACTCAATGTTGCATGTACCATGTGGATGTAATAGAGCCAATGCTCAACCCAAAGTCACATTCATGCTTCAACAGACTTTGTCATGTCCATGTGCATTACACCAAAAGAAACACTCATGACTGCATATCTGAGCTTTCTCATTTGTAATAGTTCAGAATAAGAACCATATTCTGTGCAGGAGTCTCAAATCAAAATGGCCTTCACAAGTCTTTCATGTTGTACAGTGCAAGTTTTTAGACCATGCATCAGGCCTCATCTTGGTGTCACCTGTTGCCCAATGTGCATCATAGATGAAATGGTAGTATAATCAGGTAACCTCAAATATGTGCCATTGCTTCAATATAGTAATTTTTTTTTTTTTTTTTTTTTTTTTTTCATTTTTTATGCACTCTGTTTAGCTCAATGAGAATCTCTGTATACCATGTCTTTGAAAAATGTGCTCAAAAAGCCTCACAAAACACCCATACTGCATGCAAGTGCCTTGATCATATGAGGTCTAAATTTTTTAAGCCTCTTTAGATTTTGTACATAGTATGTTCAAGAACTGACCTTTTTCATGATGGGCTCTCCTTTAGTGTATTTCTACTTATCAAAGGCCATGGTTGGGGTTTTGTGGGAGAATACAAGGTTTGTGGGAGAGTTTCATACAAACAAGAATAACAATAAGAAGTACATGATCTATAGATACATGTGAAGAAAGCATTAGTGGGTGAAGAATATGATACAATTGTCTTTTTTTGAAGTAAAGTGAACAATGACTTTCGCTTTGCAAAACCTCAAACTTTGGAGTTAACGCAGGAGCAACTTAGGTAAACTCTATCTATTGTTAATATGTTCATGCTTTACTTTTAGGACTTTAATAGATAGTTTAGTACATTCATATTGTTACAATAAGGTGCTATTATATGGCCACCAAAATTAACAAGTATGTAATAAGGTAGAGGGATATTTAAAAGTTAAAGATAGCACAACAAAATAATTAAGAATAAACATAGTATTTAATAAGTCCCAAGCAAAAACACTACAAGTTAGATAGTTTTGAGTCAAAGATAGCATGTTTTTTTCTGAGTAATAAACTGTGCCTTGCTTCTTTTCTTATCATTATTTGTATTGTATCTAGTCTTGCAAGGTCTTATTCTATACTTGTTGATAACTTCAAAAGTCCGACTAATATCTAATAATCATGTTAAAGAGCACTACATGAGAGAACCTTAAAAGAATTTGGCAGAAGATGAATACAAGATTTATAAGAAAAATAAGTAAAGGAATTGGAGTAAGAGGAGATACAAGAAGATATCCTCTAAGCCAACTTAAGTCTTGCAAGCAAAATCCACGAGAGATTGCCATTACCTCTAAAGGAACCAAAGACTTACACAATTGGCTACAATAATAAACCACTGCAATAGAAGACTGTTTGAAAATAATTTTATAAGAAATGCCATGAAATTATAAAAAACTTGTGCAAGTAGCCATGAATTCACAATCCAAGTTCCAAGCACCTCAAATACGGCAATTAAATGAAAAGTGAGAAGAAGGCTATAACCAAATTCTACAAAAAGTCTATTTATAGTATCTATTTTGATTTCGATGGTGGTAGTCAACTTCCAATAATTCAATCTGAAGTATTTCTTTTACAATTGTATTAATAATTCTAATAAATATTTAAAATCATATTTAATCATAATAGAGATTAATGGCGATCTTATTACTAAAAACATTAAAATAAATATTTAAAATAACATTACAAAAATAGATATTATGTGGTTTTTATAATTTATTTATAGACATGTCAAGGCTTCTTAGGAAGTGTTTGAATAAAGCTTTGTAAAAAAAATTCAAGCACATAAAAACCAACAAGAATATTGTGTTAAAATTCTTGCTAATTCCATCTAGATCTTGTGGTTCAAAAAGACTTATTACCTAATATCAAGAAAGATATGATGTTTATGTGACTTAAAAATATGAAAGAAAGAACTGAAGTCACTCTTGAAATTAAACATACATTATCATTTGTATGTATATTTATTATAGACATATATATATATATTCTAATAATTTCCTATATGATTAAATAGAAGTAGATAAAAATATATTAATTTTATAATATCTTCTAGAAAAGCTTTTTAAAAGCTTTGTAGATGTGGCTTTGACTTTATATGTATTTGTAATTAATTGATAGGTTAAAAATTGGTTAATAAATTAACGATGTATCATGCTGTTGTATTGTGTGTTGTCTTATTTAGGAATGCACCGAGCATCTAGCTGTGGAAGGTGAGGTTGTGTTTCACAAGTATCCAAGAAAACCTAATAGGTTTCATCCATATGAGAAGAATATAATCCGAATTTTAATTCAAAAGTGCTAAAAAATACTCTTTTTAGTAGCCTTAATCATACATAAATCCCAATTACCTTGTTACTTTCATATTTAAGCAATTTAGATTTTTCTTATAAGCCCCAATCATAATTAGTGAGCTTTAACAAGCTATAACTTCTAATCTGACCATCCACTTGATGTAAAATTTTGCCTGCAATTATCAATGTAAGTCTTCTATACGCTCAAGAATTTTCAGTCCAATCCAACTTACAAATTGTGAAAAAACCTCCAAAAATTGCACTGATGACACTTGGCCACCAATTTGAAAAGTAAAGCAAAAATCCCAGTAGTGATTTTTCCTTCTCCAACCATTAACTTTAACTCAAAATTGGTGTGCAGCTTGATCTTTAAGTCTTTCAAGACCATGTCAAATTTCACCTTGATCTGACTAGCAAATCTCTAAATATCACAAAAATCCTACCCAACCCCAAACTGCCAACTTCCGAAACCCTCTTGTGCTAAAAACTAGATATCTCTAAACCACACCGTTAGATTATCACAAAATTTTGTATACACTTTGCACACCCAATAATCCAAATATTATCAAATTTTGAACTGTAGATGCTACACCAATTGCAAGAACTAGCCAAAATTGCTAGCCCTAATTATATTAAATAAAATCCAAATCACCAATACAAACCTTGACTTTGAATAATAATTTCCAAGTCGTCAAAAATCCTAAAAAAAAAATCCTTATGCCTTTGAAAAGAACTTTAAGCTAACTCTCAAAATCTAACCTCCAAACTTCAAATGAAGCCCTAATTTTTCCTACGTAGTCATTTTAGTGATCAGAGGTCTGATTTCAATCCTGTCTCACAAACGGTCAATCCCTAGGTATCAATCTAATCTATCCTAAGGATTTTTTTAGCCCAATCCTACCCTCAACATGACCCTAGTATCAACCATACCAACCATTTACCTCTTCTACCTTGATTTTAACAATTTATGGCCTTTCTAAAGCAAAAAAAGTTTTTATATCTTAGAAGGTAAAAATACTAACTAACTTTCATCTACTTAGTATTAAGACAAGAAAATAGGCTAAGAAGCTTTCATAAAAGGCTTATTAAAATATTTGAAATTCTTATTGAACTAATATAATAGATTATTAATTAAAAAATCATTTTTAGTCATATTTTCATCATATAATCGTGTCACAATACAACAATGCATATTGATAACTTGTTGAATAAACTAACTATATAGCGTACATATAGAAAAATTTCCTTGCAAATTAAGATATATGTCTTATAAAGTCAATTCATTTTGAAGATCCTATAGAATATTGACATGTAGCTCCTAGTTAGATAGTATAGATAGAGTCAAGAATGAAGCCTTCTTCACTCTTATCAACGCTTTTTTAGTCTTTGATCTTATTTCAAGATTTTTTAGTCTTTTTGTCTTTGGCAATAGCCATTCTAGTTCAATATATTATCATCTTTGAATAATTTCTTAATCTTTTTGAATGCCATAAGAGTGTATTGAGATTTTCTTTCTTTGAAATTCATTTCTTTAATAGTTTGACAAGAGTTCTAACTCGTTGTTCTTGTTTTGTCTTAGAAGTGAGTGGATTATTTCATTATTATTATTGTGTTTTTGAAGATTGAAAATCCATCCATGTTTAAACTAATTTTTAATTTTTAACATTGATTTTTTTCTTAAAGAGAGTAGATTATCCCTCTTTATAGAAATTTTTATTTGATATTAAAGGTTATATATTATCCTCTTCTAATTTAATTTTTTGAATTTATTTGAATTGAATATGAAAAGAAAAAAATATAAATGCTACTCTTAGCAAAAATAAAAATAGATTTGTGACTAT